ACAAAATTGTTTTTTCTTTAAAATTTAATAGTTTGGGTGCCACTATATATTGAATGATCCTTTGTAGCATACTGGTTTGTCCTTTAGTCCCTTTATCATTGAGGTGAGCAGGGCTTGCTCAAGTTTTTCAGTGTATAGATCATCTATATCTTTAATGGACCACTGGTTAAAGGCAACACAAAGCTAAGGAACATAAAGTACAACTCTGCAAATTTATATTGGTAATTGGCACTCCATTCATAAATTGCATTAGCAAAACAAGTTTTAAGTTCACAGTTTATTCAGTTCAGCTTCTCCCAAGAAGACTTACCAAGGCTGTGTTTGTGGAAAAATACCTGCAAATAAGGCTTAGAAATTGTTTCTTCAGAAATAAAACACAAATTATAAAAATTTATTTTTAAGCACAACAAGCATTTCGGCAACATGAAAACAGGTTTTTTGGGATCCGTTTTTTCATGAGTTTCATATTTACATTTTAATGTAAACCTGAATTAAATATTACATAGACATTTTAAAGCTCCCCCCTTTATTCTTATATAAATAAAGCCAAGCCAGTAGGCTACTCATAAATCTTTGAGATTTAAAGGAATACAGACTATTAAAATTACATTAGGGTGAACTTAAAAAAAATTTTAGTTTTGGGGGCCTGGGTGGCTCAGATGGTTGAGCATCTGCCTTCTGCTCAGGTCATGATTCCAGGGTCCTGGGATCGAGTCCCCGCATGGGGCTCCCTGCTCGGAAGGGGGCTGGCTTCTTCCTCTCCCTCTGCTGCTCCCCCTGCTTGTGCTCTTTCATTTTCTGCCAAATAAATAATCTTTTAATTAAAAAAAATTTGTTTTTAGTTAAGCATTTGTCTACATGTTAAACTGAACTTTATACCATAATCTTTAATCGTGCATTTAAGGTAATTTCACTGTGTTACTTTTACTACATTAAAAATGAATGACATGATTTTTTTTTTTAAAGTCTGAGGGGTTGTACTTTGGTAGTTTTAAAAGATAATGGAAAATAGTTATCCAATCATTCAAATACAGTTTCATAGAAGCTTTTATAAAGAATGGGAAAGAACTATCCAGAAATATTTTATAATGTTCAGAGATACCAATTACTGAAAGCCTTGATTCTTTAATAGTATATAAGGAGTGCGTGCTGAAGGTTTACCCTGGATGGTATGGTGGGAAACCTGTAGTTGAAGTTGCAGATTGTCACAGGAGAGTGAGCCCACTGACGAGAATAAAACTTAGAACAATTGCAGTAGCAGGCAGTCTTCACTCAGGGCTTTAGTTTCAACTCTTTAAGTGAATTGTTGGTGCACTGGTTTATGTCTAGAGTCATGGTGGCTAGAGTTTGAGGTGAGTATCTCATCAACTGGAAGTTTATTTAACTAGTAAATACTGGAGCTAGGATGCTGCTCTTTGGCTCTTAAACTCTGTACATAATTTTTGCTGTTGTTTCCCATGGTTTCCTCTAGATCCCACAGACTACATTTTACTTATACTTACTGGGATTTTGTTCATATCACTTTCTTAAAATCCTTTTTGAATCTCATGAATTTGTACTTAGTTTTCTGGACTTCTCTAAAGCACATTTTAGGTGGCTGACTTGGTGACTCTTAGGTGGTGAATTCGAGCCCCGTGTGTGGCATAGAGTTTCGAGTTTCGTTTCTGAGAAATGAGCACTCATTTTAGATTTGGTCTTGTTCCTGCATCAGTGATTTTTAACTTTATTGTGAGTAGGTACATTCATAGTATTTTAGCAGTTTGGGAGATCCTCACACATTCTAAAGCCCAAACAACATGGTAGGTAGCCTGTAAAATCAGTCCTAGGAAAATCAGGGGTAAGCAGGGAGAAACATCATCTTGAAATTCATTGTAGATAAAAAATAATGGGAAGCAGAAGAAAATACTTCCTGACACTTGAATGAAATTATAATGGGATTGCATATTTAAACTGAATGTGATAAGCCACTGTTGTACAGGGAGGAGGGAGTAATCTTATTAGATTGCTCTTACCTATAAATTATAGCATGTAGCTTTTATTTTTGTTATGATTTATTTTAGAGAGAGTACACAAGTGGGGGGAAGAGCAGAGGGAGAGAGAAAAGCAGACTCCCTGCTTAGCCTAGAGCTGATGCCATGACCCTGAGATCATGACCTGAGCTGAAATAAAGAGATGTTTATTTTATTTTATTTTATTTAAGTAATCTCCACACCCAACATAGGGCTGGAACTTAAAACCCCGAGATCAAGAGTTTCATTCTCTACTGACTGAGCCAGCCAGGCACCTCTGTTAACTTCTATTTTTAATAAATGACTTGTAATGCTTATGTTTTGCTTGGAGATTAGGACAGTTTGTCTTATCTGTTCAGATAATTACTTAGCTAATGTGCATCCAGAAGTGTTTTAATTTCTTTAAAATGGTATCTTAATGAACTTTTTTATTTGGGCTAGATTTTATATCAACACTTAAATGTCCAGAATTCTGATTTAGGATGCAGTCATAATTCTCTTGGGATTTAGTGCTTGTTCCTTTGGTTACAATGAAAGTTTCATGAAGACTTTTTAATGATTTTGGCTTTATCACTAGGGAATCAGCACGATACTAATCTTGATAAGCAAGGTTTTCTTGGAGGGAAATGGTTACTTAATTTGCAACTAGTTCTTAAAGCTGTAATATTTCCTATCCCTTTGAACTTGAGTGTTGTCAGAGTAGGCATAATTTTCATGTTTTCACAATTGTGCACTTTTGACATTTTACAAGGGAGATCTGCTTAAACTTCCTTAGAGGAATCTTTGAGTGTTTCACGAGTCCCATTTTTGCTTGAGCAGCAGTTAAGTTCCATGGCACTACAAGCCCTTTAGCACTACCAGTTGGTCTTCTGAAACTTTTTTCTTCTGAAAACTAGAGCATTTGACTTCGATTTGTATTTGTGGGGCCATTACACATATTTAAAAGTGCATTTCTTGCCTCATTTTCATTGTGATGATTAACCTGCATCAGGTGAAATTGTATGGTTCAAAAGGAAGTTCCAGTGCCTACAAATAGAGGGAATCTGGAATGGCAAGATAATTGGTTTAGAGACTGGTGCTGAGTGGGTTGGTTGGGAAGGGATAGGTAGGTGAGATCCAACAGTATCGGGTCATGAGATGTTTCATGCCCAAAGATAAAGATAACTCACCTTTGTTTACCTCCAGAAATTGCTTTTAAAATACCATCATCTTGCACAAAGGAGAGTGGTTTCTGAATTATTTTATGTTTTATTTTATAGTTTTGAATTATTATACTGTGGGACATTAATGGGCCAAAAGAAGAAAAGCTTTATGTATGGAAAGTAGTGATAAAATGTTATAATAAGTACACTTTTTGTTTGTGTTAATTCCCATAAGCCAATTAAAACTGATAAATTAACAACTCATTTACAATTTGCTGCAGAACTCCTGGGTGGCTTAGTTGGTTAAGCATCTGCCTTTGGCTCAGGTCATGATCCCAGGGTTCTGGGATCGAGTCCCACATCATGTTCCTTGCTCAGCGGGGAGCCTGCTACTCCTTCGGACAGCTGCTTCCCGGTTGCATGTGCCGTCTCTCTCTCTTTCTTGCAAATAAATGAAATCTTTAAAAAAAAAAAATTCGCTGAGAAGAAACCTGTAGAAGCACTAATAATACTTTCTGAATCCTACATTTTCTTATTTCCTGGGACTCAAAACTTTATAAAGTGCTCCTTAAGAGAACTTAGAACAAGAATTATGAGTGCTTTAGTAACTTATACCACATCGTTGTTTCTTTAGTACTTGACAAATTAATAACTACCGTGCTTCAAGGGAAAAAGTATTGGTGGTCTTGACTAAAAACTGCTTGGTTGAAAATTACTAACTTGTACCCTCACTTGTTTGGCAGTGTACCATGTGCTCTTTCTTAATTTAGGAAAATGTTCCTGTCATAGGTACTCCTAGGAAAAAAATGAGCTACTAGTATATTAAAATTGGAATGGAAAAAACAAGATTAAGTTGGGTTGAGGAAAGTTAGCTACTAAAAAGGTGCAGAACAGAATTAAAAAGATTTTTTTCCATGGTAGGTCTTACCTTATGCTGCCAGTCTATTGTAAAAATAAAAACATGGAATGTAGAGGTTTTCTAGAACTATTATCCATGTAAGTTTTTTGGTTGTACTTTGAATTTTCTCTTTACAAAAATGAAAGTCATTACCAAGCCATCATTTCGAGATGTATCGTTAGCAGTCACTGGGATACTTCTCCAGTGGAAGCAGCAGTTAAGTAACCAGTGGGTGGTTTGTTTTTTGTTTTTTTTTTTTGAGAGCTGATGTGTGCTGCGCAGTGGATGTAAGTGAACAAAACAAGACAGTATTCTCCATCCTGTTGGAATTGGAACTATGAGTGCATCCTCTGCTTAAATGTTGTTAGAATGGACCATGGCTTTTTATACAAAGCTAACACATATGAATGGCTCTTTGTTTTTGTAGGCCAAAACTGGTTAATACTATCAGTTTTATATGGTTCAATTTAGTATCGCTAACTGATGGGATTTAACTCACAATAAATACCACTGTTGGCAGACTCCGTTAATTGCAGTCCCTTTTTGTATTTTATTTGGGATTGTTTCTATGTTTTATTTATTTATGAATTATTTTAGCATATATAGAGAGAGTAAAATCACAAAATACATATTTTGTGTATATACACACAAATACATATGTAGGCTGTTCATTATACAAAGTAATGCTTTGTTAATACTGCCAGAGTACAGAGGAACCTTTTATGTCCATCACTTAAAGCCAACCAACTATCATTGGATATGCATGTGTGTATGTAGTATTTTCTTTAAGTAGCTGCTATATTCAAAACAGCAAAGAAGGTAGGTTTTTACTGGACTTCTGAATGAAATTAGCAAAAAAATTGAGGGACAGTGAACATTATTATTTTATAAGGTCACTGATCGATCTTGCTGACTTAGTTGTGAAGGAATTGTTTTCCTTTTATCCAATAGGATGTATAGTTACCCAGCACGTGTTCCTCCTCCTCCTCCTATTGCTCGGGCTGTAGTTCCTTCAAAACGCCAGCGTGTATCAGGAAACACCTCACGAAGGGGCAAAAGTGGCTTCAATTCTAAGAGTGGACAGCGAGGATCTTCTTCCAAGTCTGGAAAGTGTATGTATTATTATTGCAGCTTTGTGATTCTATTTCTTATGTGTTGAAATAAGGAAATTGGGGCACCTAGGTGGCTCCGTCATTAAGTCTTTGGCTCAGGTCATGATCCCAGGGTCCTAGGGATCGAGCCCTGCGTTGGGCTCTCTGCTCAGCAGGAGGCCTGCTTCTCCCTCTCCCACTCCCCCTGCTTGTGTTCCCTCTCTCACTCTCTCTCTGTCAAAATAGATAAATAAATCCTTAAAAAAAATACTAAAAGTAGAAATAGGGAAATTAATGTAGTTAATAATAGGGTTTGTACAAATGGCTTTGTATAAGCAAAACAATGGAAGAGGAGAAGATAGTAGTGATTAGGGGGCCAATTAAAGTTTTAGACTTTAGGGAGCTAAGCACTTGTAAATTTACAAAATGTGTAAGTCAGTCAAACAGTACAAAAAGTGCTTTCAAATATAATTGAGGTCTGTAGTGGGCCTACAAAAGTAAGAATACTTTTGCTAAGGGAGTAGGCACATTAGATTTAGTTTTTAGCTACCAACTAAAAAAATGAGGATCCCCATGACTGGGAGAGTGTATGATCCTGGCTCCATTTCTCCCCTGGGATCTGCTGGCTATTGCCATATGGTTTAGTTGGAAATGTGTTTGGCATCTGGTAGCTTCTGGTAGAGTTGATTCTAATCTAGAGTTTTATTTGTATTAAAGTGAAAGGTGATGACCTTCAGACCATTAAGAAGGAGTTGACCCAGATAAAACAAAAAGTGGATTCTCTACTGGAAAGCCTGGAAAAAATTGAGAAAGAACAGAGCAAACAAGGAGGTAAATGGTCTTGCCGCTTGTTGGGTGTAAAGTTGGGTTAGTTACCAAAGGTAGTTGAAGGTATATGTTGGAATAGTGGGATATAAAGCAATTGAATATGAAACTTGGGGAATTTGAATTGGGAAGGGCATTTGTGTGGGAGGATTTAGATTTGTGCTGCAGTTCTGTGATCATTAGTGGGGATTGTCTACATCCTGTGGACATTACTTGCCCCTAGACAGACTTGTCCTTCTCATCCCCAGTAGAGATGAAGAATGATAAGTCAGAAGAGGAGCAGAGCAGCAGCTCCCTGAAGAAAGATGAGACTAATGTGAAGATGGAGTCTGAGGGGGGTGCAGATGACTCTGCTGAGGAGGGGGACCTACTGGATGATGATGATAATGAAGATCGGGGGGATGACCAGGTGAAAACCACGGGAAAGGAAAGAAAGAGGTGGTGGAGGGGGGAGCAGGGACACATGGAGTGCCTCTAACTCCATCCTATTTGTGTCTGTTTCTCACAGCTGGAGTTGATCAAGGATGATGAAAAAGAGGCTGAGGAAGGAGAGGATGACAGAGACAGCGCCAATGGCGAGGATGACTCTTAAGCACATAGTGGGGTTTAGAAATGTTGTCCCATTATTTCTTTACCTAGGCGCTTGTCTAAGATCAAAATTTTCACCAGATCCTCTCCCCTAGTATCTTCAGCACATGCTCACTGTTCTCCCCATCCTTGTCCTTCCCATGTTACATTAATTCATATTGCCCTGCGCCTAGTCCCATTTTCACTTCCTTTGACGCTCCTAGTAGTTATGTTAAGTCTTACCCTGTAATTTTTGCTTTTAATTTTGATACCTCTTTATGACTTAACAATAAAAAGGATGTGTGGTTTTTATCAACTGTCTCCAAAATAATCTCTTGTTATGCAGGGAGTACAGTTCTTTCCATTCATTCATACATGAGCTCAGTAGTTGCTTCCCTAACTGCAGAGGCAATCGCATTAGTTGAGTAGCACCTGAGAGCAGCTTTGAGTTAGAGGTATGTGTGTTATACCCCACATAAGAGAGCTATGTGGGGCTGTTCAACACAAATGTAACAATGTATTTTTGTGAATGAGAGTTGGCATGTCAAATGCATCCTCTAGAAAAATAATTAGTGTAATAGTCTTAAGATTTGTTTTCTAAAGTTGATACTGTGGGTTATTTTTGTGAACAGCCTGATGTTTGGGACCCTTTTTTCTCAAAATAAACAAGTCCTAATTAAACCAGGAATTTGGAGAAAAAAAAAACACCTGGTTTTTTATTTTTGTATTTTACAATTGTTTACTTTAAATTCTTTGTTTTGCAGCGGCCTCCACAAAAACCCTAGAATGTTGTACTAGATACATTTTTCTTTGAGTCATAGTCATCACTCATACCAACATACACTACTCAAATGATGTGTCATTGGGGTGGGTATTGCATTAAGGAGACAGTAACTTTGATGTGGAGTGGAGATTCTTGCACAGAATAGCTTTTTTAATCCTAATGAAAAGGTTTGGGAATTACATTAAGCTTTTTCATTGATGTTTTGTGATCCAGTTGGCACCCTTTTTGAGATTTTTTTTGTGTGCTAAATCGTTTTGTCCTTAAATGGAAGAGGTTCAACCATATCACGATTTTAGGAAAATTAGAACAACTGGAGAATGAAACCTCTGTTTTCTTCCACTTTATCCTTTTAATTGCCATTTAGAGTCCCAGTTACTTTCTGGATTCTGAGTCTGTGCCTCCCAAGTTCCCAAAAATAGAAAAGCTCTTTCTTCCCTGCTCTTCTGTAGTTTATACCTTCCCAGGTGACTGAGAACATTTACTTTCAGTTAGTTAAATCCATATAAATAATTTTTGTCCCCTCCCTCCTATGTGATTAATTCAGGTTTGGTTTTTTTTTTTTTTAGGCATGATACTAATTAGCACCTAGACTTCTACGGATGGATTTATTAAACAGCTTCTAGATTTGTTAACGCTTGCCTAATCCTGAAAGGTCTGGTTTATTTATGTTTTATACTTGGTTCCAGCAGAGCAGGACAAGAACATGGTTAGTTTGGACTATTACCATTCACACAAACCTTGGGTTCCCCAGAAAGTTGCTGTTTCATAGCATGCAACAAAGGCATTTATATCCAATCTACTGTGAGCAGAAGTCCTGTCCTGTTAGGATCTCAAAAATCGTTTTATATAACAGGTGACAAACCAGAATTGAAGGAAGAGGCTGAACGGTGAACTACCCCTTTGGACCCGACATCCATAGTACAAAAGTAGCTTTTGTGGGTTAATTTGGTCAGAAATACTTTTACCCACCCTGTCTTCTGATCTTACATGATTTCATGTTACACAAACTCACTTTCAGCACATAATCCCAAAAAGAAAATAAGCTGGATGCTTAGAAGAAAGGGTAAAGGTTCTAAGATGTTAGTAAAACCCATTTAAGGTTATAATGTTAGCCATCAGTACTTCTAAGATGCTGAACCAGTTAGACCAGGCATGAAAGTGTCTACTTTTTTAATTTCATATGAAACCAAGTATTGAAAGAAACTGTAGAAAGCTTAGAGAAATGGTCATATGCTCTTTGAAAATATGCACACACACAAGGTTATTGATAAAATGCCAAGACATTTCCAGTTTGTCATAATGGGGAAGAGTTTTCATACTCTAGGTCTCAGGCTATTAGAGGAGTTAAATTTCCCTATGGAACTAAGAGAACAGTACTGTAGGTTTCTATAATCATGGGTTATACTCTTCTAATACTTGGAAATTCAGGCTCCTAGGCCAAAACTTACAGAAAAGGAAACATGACTGAAATAGTGTATAGTTCGCTGATCAAATGCAGACACTACAAGCTATTTAAAAAAGAGGCCATTGTCTTAAAGACGATTGATCTAATGAAGGCTTATAGTCACTGTTAACATTATTTAACTGGGCCCCAGGAAGAGATTGGAATGGGTTCAGTAGAAATAGAGGCAGAGCAAGCAGCTGGCTCATAGGGTTAGCAGTGGGTTGGCAATGTGGGTGGGGTTGAAAAGCTTGACAGTTTCAGAGTCAGCTAATTGTCTAGAGGGAATTCGGGGTAACTATCTCAAAGGCCAAGGCCTTAAGCTATTTAGAAGTAAGATTTTAAAAACAGTAAAATATGGTGATGCATTTGTTGGGTATTATAAAATTCAGAATAATGGTTTACCCAGTATGCCCAGGAAATGTAAGAAAATAGCCTGGAAGCCTTTAAGATTGCAGTGTCCAGCCAAGATTGGATGAAGAAGGTGGATGACTTAAATGAAATCCCTTTGGAACATTTCTGATGCTACATAATTTCTAATGGGGAGACTTCTATGGAGTTCACTGGCAAAGGTACTTTCCTAATTTGCTATTTCACCAGTGAAAGGAGCTAACTTAAAGCTGTTGGATTGGAATAGATGACATTTGGAACACTTGAAAAGAGGGTTCCCAATAGATTTCAGTTCACCTGGCACCCCAACATCTGAAACCTGCAAGGATTAGTAGTGCTAGTCAGTACATACATGTTTTAAAGTCTCCCTTAACAGATGGAACTAGGTGTAAGAGAATGGGAAAATACAAGAACAATAGAATTACGGTAAATCAGAAAGGAATTAAAACGCAGTCAAATGAGTATTGAGAATGTAATGGAAGGATAGATAAAAGTAAGCATCATTCTAGCCATAGAGTAATTATAAAATATCAGTAAAGGAATCTAGTGAATTAACTCAGCAGTAGATGTTGATTCAAAAGAGTAAGCTAGGGGAAGCAAAACCCGCAGATACGATACGCTAAGTAAAGAAATGGAACTGCTGAGAGACTACTTCACAAACACTGGTGGTTTTAGGTAACTTGGATGATATGGTGGGATGTGTTGTGGAGGTAGTTGGGAAGTAGGAAATCACTATTTTTAGGAGAATCAGAAATCATCATTGCCTGTGGCCTGGGAGAATGAAGAATTTAGCCATAGAAGTTGACCTTTTTATTTAATGTGAGGGAAATTCACCCGTGCCACTGTCAGATGGGGTTTGAGTTTCTGGACCCTAGATCAGATCACATTGGCCAAGGAAATGCATTAGGTTGAGTTTTAGATGGAAGAAAAAAAAGTACCGTGATACCTTGAAGCCAGTTAAAAATCGTAAACACAGATACGACAAAAATGAGTGACTGGTACATGAGCTACATATGTATAGAATGGGCTGGTAAGTAACGGTAAAGAACCTCACTTGTTTTATCAATGCTATATCTCATAGAGAACAGGTATTATTTATACTGTGGTGTTTATTTGACAAATAAGGGGCACTCTTTTGGAGAATGTTTGAGTTTTGTAGAGACCTTGGGATAAAGTAAGAATTGGGCCAGCTAAACTGTACAGAAAAGGCTAGATTTAGATGTATACCTGACTGGGATGCCAGAATTCCAAATGTTTAGAGAGGAGAATAAATTAGGGGTGTTGGAAAATTCCATGTTTGAATTTTAGTTAAATTAATCCTAATCAGGAAGGCCTCAAAAGAAAATGTGGTTGCATTAGTAACTTTTAAATTAATCAAAAAACAATATCCCAATTATGAAAAGCAGGACCTGTGTAGAGAGTTGGAATTAAAGCCCTGTTTGAGCTGGGGTGGGCTTCTGCCTTAAGTCAGAACTACAGTAGAAGGAATAGTGTAATGGGGTGAATGCCAAAAAGACAAGTAGCTAACTAAATAGGAGTAGAAGCCCAAGATTTTTAGGAGTCCCACAAAGAAGTTGAAGGAAATAAAAATGTTCTGAAGATTTGACAAAAATTTGCTTGTGCAAAATGACTCTTACAGGACTTTCATAAACCTAAAATGAATAAAAATACTGTTACAGTATGTTAAATTAGTTGTCGAATGGATCTCAACTTTGGTTGTGCATTAGAATTACCAAGGGAGCTTTTAAAATCCTGGCACCCAGGTGTGTACTCCAGATCAATTAAATGTCTGCAGTTGGGACTCGACAGTAATTTTCAGTTTGCTAGCAACACAGGGAACCCGTGCACTGAGAGGCAAAGTGTCCTTTCCAAGGTAAATAAGGTAGAAGGGAGGAATTACGGCTTTTAGAGAGGGTGTCTGGGTGACTGGCTGGCTAATAAGTTAGTACTAAGTGAATGTTCATGTCGTGTTAAGTGGGTTAAGACAAGTGCTTAAAGTAAGAAAGCATGATGGTGACACTATTTAAAATGACAGCATCTGGTGAAAGGGTGAGCGTGTACCTGCCTTGAAATCTATGGCCAAAGTATAGAAAGCACTGAAGGAGAGGTGTCTGGATAGGGTTAAAAGGTGAGATAAGCTAGGGTTGAGGGAGAGATGCATTGACTAATGTGCTAGTTCTATGGCTGCTAAGCCCTTGAAATGTGGCTAATGTGACTGAGTAATCGGATTTTCAGTTTATTTTTAATCTGAATAGTGTGGCTCTCTTACTGGATAGTGTAGTGCTACAAAATGAGTAGTTTTAAAATGTACAGATACTGATATGTTAGCTGTAACTTAGGTGAACCAAATGTGACTTTCCGAGGTGTTCCATGTCCTGAGTTCATTGAAAATACGTATTTCTAGGCCCTAGACCTCAACGTTGAAGACTTCCTTAGAACATCGTAGACGAACATGGAATACTTGACTGGTAGGACATCTACAAGTACAGACATAGTGTGTGTTACCTTCATTTAGCAATGTTTCTCACAAAATAAAATCTTAAGTGGGATCCCATCTTGTCATTGGGTGCCTTGTGCATCCAAGAATGATGCTGGGCAAGCATTTAAGATAAAATCTTAGTTGATTTTCACACAATCCTATTACATATGTATGGAAGTAATTCGTAAGTTTCAAAGAGTGCCCTGTTGAAAGCCCCATAGGTATTAAATGGTAGAGCCAACATTTCAGCCTGTGATCTGGCTTATCCATTGGATTTTGGACCCAAGGAGAGGAAATGGTATCTTTGAGCTTACATCCTGAATCAAAAAATGACACAACTATTTCCAAAGCACGATAACAGACTAGGGTCCCAGCACCTTCTCTCTCAAATTTAACAAGAGGTAAAATAACCATTTTTCTCTTGATTCTGTACACTGAATACTAGAGTGGTTCATAGACTTAACAGTTGCAAACACATGTTGAAAAACACCTGGCTGAGAGCAGAAACTCTGTTGGGCTATGCAACATGGTTGGGCTTTAGAAATGTAGCAAGAATACAGAGAATAGTCTCCCATCCATTTTCCTTAGCTCTTCCTGGGGAAC